GATTCAGCATATGGCTGGCCAACCTAAAACAGTGGAGGACAATAGCAGGTAAGGAACTGCGCATTGGTTCCTACTACTGTAGATAGAGGTGGTGATATTTTACTCTATACTCTAGATTTTCCGTTGAGACTTTCTTGTGGAAAAGCCAGGTGCGAAGAGTATAAAGATTTTGTTACCTATAGGAGTGCTTTGAAGGGTCAGGACCTGGAGTCGTTTTATCAGTTGTAACAGTGTAGTTAGAATGTCACAGACTTCTACATGAAAGAACATTTCGCCTAAAAGCATTTTCTTTCCGCTTAGACCGAGGACTTTTTCAGAAGGCTTGAGTGCAACTCCATCAAGGTATATCTATGTTTGAAACTCTGTAAGAAGAAGTTTATAGTAGGTGAGGAATTGTAGCATGCCACACTATGAGGAAAGAGAAGGAGAGGTGGGGGTTTTGTTGATCTTTTTTTTTTTTTTTAAGGGAAACTTCTAATTGTGAGGCATTTCTGGATGAAATCTTCATACTTGAATGATTTTTTTTAGGAAAATTTAACAAGACATCTGTTTTAAAGCAATGCTCAATCACAATATGATGAATTCAGTTAGCCTGAGTGTGCCAAACAGATTCAGAAGACAGTTCAGACACTTTTCTCAGACCTACAAGACAAGGGGCATCACCCTGGCAGAGATGATTTGAAATTCTAATGTGATGTTCTCTGCTGATGCACTGTGTGACATGTGGAGAATACGAACGGCTTTATGCTGATGGGATTTGGGGGGATAAGCAGTTTTCTGTCCCAAGGGAACTTGGATATGTCTTCTTACCCTCATTATACTTTGTCCCAGTGTGTGTCACAAATGTAGTTTCCTTCCTTTAGTGAACAAGGAGCTTGTAATTACTGTTGTATAAATTCCTATTACAAGTCGTCTTGTATTTTTTCAGTAGCTGCTGGGGACAGATTGTGGGCAAGCAGTGGGAGAGAATGGGTCACATACAATATGATGGACACCATAGCCCGTCTTTCACCAAGACAAAGGCAAAGAGCTGCCACACTCTTGCTCAAATTGATGAGAAACAAATCACCAGGCTCACCCTTTGCTGAGGAATGTACGTTTCAGTTTAAGTTTAAATCCATGCTTCATAAAACTATGAGAAGAGATTATTAGTTGTATTTTGGTTAACATTCCTTGTGATACATCAGCAAAGTTGGCTTGTAGATCAAAAAAGCAAAGCTAAAACCTAGAGAAAAGCAAAACGTGTATGGAAAGTGCATACCTGAAGCTGGTATTTGGTGGGAGAAAACCTACTTACTGTTTCTATCTTGCTGTGGTTACAGAATAGATGTTGTAACCCATGAGTTGTTTTCAAGTGTAATTCTTAAGTATCAGCCAGGCTTTCCCTCACCTCTCTGATTTCTCAATACTGTGGGACTTAGTCTCTGGTTATGAATGGCTTGAATGCTTTTCATTAGCTTAACAAGTCCAGCTGTATACAAGACTGTCAAAATAGGTTGAAGAGCATCTTCAGAACCCCTCAATAGGCTTTCATTCAAAAAGATGACCATACAAACTATATAGGCTGTTACTCATTCTTTATGTAATCCTTACCCTTTTTTTATATGCTTAGAGACACTTCGTTTAGCCAAGAGTTTTATTCCTGGGAACATTGTGGAAAGATTTTTCATCCAAGCTTGACTGTTTCTGCTGCCTTTTTTTAATCTGCCCCTAAAAGCCTGTAAGCTCTTGCTGATAGTCCCTGGACCATATCTGGACTGTCTGTCCTCAGCCTTTTCTAGACACACATCCTGGTTTTTTGGGTAGCCTCCATACTCTGAGTAATGCCTTCAGAATAGTTGACCTTGCAGGCTGGGCTGGGAGCAGGTGTGCATGTTCCTTCTCCCCAGTCAGCTTCCCTCTTGTTTATTCAGAGTTTCTTATCTTTTCCATTGTTTTTATTTTCCTGTGGGGTTTTGGTTTTGGTCTTTTTTTTAGCAATCTATAGTTTGGTTTATTCCACAGTAACCCATTACAAATAAACATATCAGGCATGTGCCTTAGTAAGAAAACAATTCAATTCCTGGACTCCCATGAACTCATTTGAAAATCAAAACCCTGCAGTGTTTTTTAATTAAGCTCATGAGTTTAACTTCTTACATCAAAAAAGCATCAGAAAGAAATCAAAGAATTTGCAAGTTACGATTCAGTGTCCAGCTGTCACTAAGCATTTTAATAATGATTTTCTGTCAGCTGTCCTCCTTTAAAAAGCTTTGGAAGAATTTGAGTTACACCTCATCTCCGTCCTGACACTGACAATAAAAAACAATTCTAAGTATAATAATATACAAATAATTCCTCCTGTCTTGATCAGCAAAATTTATCCTCTTCCAGAAATTACTGTAGAGTTTTGGGTTTTTTTAAAAGGGAAAGCTCATTTTTTGCTGCTTGATACCTATTTGCTATCCTTTCAGGAAACCCAAGAATTTTCCCTGTTTCTTGCATAAGAAACACAAACTGTTAGTGAGCATGTTCAGTCCTGTATACGTTATGGGCATTGGTGTGAAGTGAGCAGGTAGGAATTTATCTTGGGGACATGCTGTTAGACGAAGACTTACATTGTTTATTTTCTTAGTCTCATACTTTTCACAAAACTTTTCATCACATTTAATTATAAGAAAGACCTTAAACTTTCTACTTTAAAATAATGACTTGACAGGAGGGAAATTGTTTTCTGGTTTGATGTTATCATTGCGATCTTCCTCCATTTTGGTCCGTCAGCCGCATGGCTCTTTAATTTTTGAGTATGCTTTTCCAGCTTTGCTGTTTGCTTCTCTTGCCTTGGTTTCGCTGATGTGCTCATCCTCTTCATGATTTAAAACAAAAGCAAAAAACAACCCGCAGAAGCAGCTGATAATGTTCTTTTTCTTAGACTTCCTCTTCCCTGCAGTCTTTCTACTGAGAGGTGCTTAAACTCTGGCAGAAAATAGGGAACACCGTTATTAAAAATGAGACATTGCAGCTTATCAACAGAGTGTATCATCTAATGCTTCTAGTCATCCTACTCAGTTGTTACTTACAAGAAGTTACTTATACTGATGTGATCCAACCAACAGCTCTTTAAACAAAGATACATGTACTCTTCTCTTTGCTGCTGCTTTTCTTGGGGAATATTGCCCATTCAGAGCTGCTACCACATCGACACAGGAGTAAATGGGCAACGTGCTGCCAACCCAGGCTGCAAGGGTAATCTTAAACAGATTCAGCAGCAGCAGAAGTGGGATCACTCTGGATTAAACCACGGTGCTCCTACTTCACAAATGGGAATAGCTAAATTATGCACACAACTTGCTGCATTTTCTAAGGCTGACTAACGGTGACTGGTTAAAAGGCAACATCTAATGTGCTTCCAGTTGCATTGCCAGATGGTCAATATGTGGCAACTTCTTTAACCAGAAGTGACTTTTGTTGGCTACCGTGAGTTTTGCATACAGTCTTCTCATGTGCACCTTGTCCCAAACCCATAGAAATAGACAGACAAACAGTGCAAAGGCAGACTTATTTAAATGTATAGTTACAGTAATAATTAAAGAATTTGCACAACACAAAGTCATTATAAAAACATGTCACTGGCATCTTTTAAACATGATAAATGGCCTTTTTCAAACTTTGGAAGGCAGACAGATATCTATACATGTGAAAGGTAGACAAACTCTTCACAGGGGCTGTCACCATGGAGAAGGGATCTTTTGGATGCTTTGGAGTGGGCTGGTGTGAGCTGTGTGTAACATCTGCCTGCAAAGCACCAGGCCTGTGCTCAGGGTGCTTTTTCTTCTCATTCCACCTCAGGCCAACCCTACGTAATACTTGGTTTTCTGTGAATAATGCCAAGTGACAGAGGCAGGAGGAGGATTTGGAAACAGGGGACCTGCTGCCATTTCTGTTATGACATTTCACATACCTCTTACCTTTCAAGCAAATGTTCCTGTTCACTTAGTCTGTGTGACTTTTGTGTAAATTGGAAACCTCATTCATTTAAAAAATGAACAATATTAGTACACCATGTTTCCACTGAAAACAGTAATGGTTGCTGAAGTAACAACTCTTGGTTAAACAGAGGTCCGCTCTGGAGAAGCAGAGCTCCTGCTCTTCAAATACTGTAACACTGTTCTGGGAGTATCATACAGCTCAAAGGGCTTGTTTGTTGGTACAGCACTTTTCACAACAGCTGCTTTTTCTACAGTGAGGAGAACTCACGCAGTTCCTCTGAGATCCTATGCGTTCCTGGCCTTTCATCATTCAATATGCGTTGTCAGCCTACATGCTGGCATACACACAAACCTGCGCACAGGTGCACTGAATGCACAAACAGCTCATTTCTGTCTGAATGCTAGCTTGAAATCTCTCTTTCTTTCCAGATGTCCACACAGAAGCAGTTCAGGCAGCCCTTGCTAAACATAAAGAAAGGAAAATGGCAGTCCCCATGCCCTCAAAACGACGTTCATTGGTGGTGCAAACATCAATGGATGCCTACACACCTCCAGGTGAGCATCTCTGTGTATTTTATGAAAATTTTAAAAATGGTTCTTTGTGCTGCTGTGAACTAATAATCTACCTGCATAGATAGTAACGGAAAAGTCATTTGAAGCACACTGAGCATAACATTAAGGTATGTTTTGAAGACAAGAAGGTGAACTGAATGTTTGCAAAGTCAACAGGGGCAGTTCACATGACTTCTTTACCCTTGGTGATACCTCAGCTTGCTTTGGTCCTTTTGCTCTTATGAGGACCTAACTATAACCAGCTTGTCGTGTTTTATGTGAGTCAAAGTTCCTTTCAAGTTTCTGGTTTATTCCCTAACACTATAATGTAATGTTGTCTTTACAATTAGTTGTGCCATTCCTTTTCAAATTTATCTGCTCTTTTACCTACTAGACTGTGAAAATACCCCACATCTCATGCATTCTCATACTCACTGAATTCAGCTGGGACTCCATTTCTCACTGAGGAGTGGACTTTCTACAATTGGAAAAGTGTTTCACAGACTTTGTGGAGTGAGCTTAGGAAAGTATTTTGGGTATTCTATACCGTTAATACATGGCTGGAGATCTTCAGAAGATTCTCAAGCCACATTATAAAGGAAGACTCTTTTATTGTCTTTATTTTTGTACAATAATACACAAGCCACGACCTTAGAGCAAGAAAACTCTCAGTTAGCAATTGACTTTGTTTCAGGGCTTTCAGTATTGCAGACTTTTCTTATTATGTTTGCCTACCTTAATGAGTTTTCCTTTATGCCAGTTATCTTTAGATTAGTAATATGAACATGCCTTATTTCTATTAAGAAAACACCAAAGCACTGCAAGTTAACAGACTGTTTTTAATTACTAGATACTTCTTCTGGTTCAGAAGATGAAGGTTCCGTACAGGGCGACTCCCAGGGAACTCCCACCTCAAGTCAGGGGAGTATAAACATGGAACACTGGATCAGTCAAGCAATCCACGGCTCTACCACGTCAACCACTTCCTCCTCCTCAACACAAAGTGGAGGCAGTGGTGCTGCACACAGACTAGCTGATGTTATGGCTCAAACACATATAGGTTAGTATATGGACATTTTGAGTATGTCCATTTTAACATGAATTTTGACTCACATTCAGCTGATGCTACTAGATGAAGTCTTACAAAAGTCTTTCCTGTGCTTTTTTTCCTTACCTTTTTTCTATTTACATATATTATATGGAGAGAGAGTCCTATGTTCTTATTTCGGGAGGGGAAAAAAAAGTAGCAATCTAAATTTGGGGGTAAACTTATGTTGTGGCAAACAGAATCTAGCTGTTGGCTCCCAAATATCTTAAAATGTACAATTGCATGACTTCCATTACTTAACACTAAAAAAGGTCTCTGTTGCATCCATCAGTAAGGAAAATCAGTGCATGCAGCATTAGGGATTGCTTGCATTACGAGTTTCCCCTACTGCTGCACCACTTTAGTTACATAGTTTGAGTGATTTTTGATAGTTCTGGTAACAGTAGGTCCTCTTGAACATATTTTTTCTGTCCTTATTTGAATCTAGAATGCTTGGGCTGGGATATCTATCTGTTATAGTCCTTGGGGAAACACTATTATATACCTTCAGAGAAGGGACCTCTTATTATTAGTAGTAGCTTGTTTATATCCTTCGGAAAGATCCTAGGAACTTAAAACTTTCTTTCCACTAGGGCTAAGCTTCACAGGCATTAATTATTTCTGAATATTGTGCCATTGACATTAGTCTTCATTAAAATAAGGCAGCTATTTGATTAGGCATGTGGAAAGCGAGGCTTGTTTTTCCCTGTGTTCTCCAGTAACTGCTGTTTATCCTATGAGGCATCTGCTTTGGTTGCATTCTTGCTGTGTATTTTGGGTTGTCTCACTGAAAATCTGTTGGAATCTATACTGGAACAGATAAAGCAACCTTGCTACTCTTCTACTACACATATGAAATGCCGTTTTGTATGAGTGTTCCTCAACTGATGATTCCTTTTCAAGTATATGTGATGAGATATGTGAAAGCATCTGAAATGTTGCTGATTTTATGTGCTGGAACAGTAGTCTGTATCCCTTTTTCTGTGCTGTGACTATAGCTTGATGTAACACCTGTATTTTCAGATCAGTAATCCTCTCACCATGGTCTGGAATTGCTGAATTGCAGTCAGGGGAAGAATTTGTATTGTATTCTTAAATTCATGCTAAATGAATAGCTTAGAACCTTGGTTTAGAAACACATACACTTCTGAACACATTAATCATTGCATTTGGTTATTTTCTGTGACTTCATCTTGAAACGCTAGAGGAAATTATAACATAGAGAATTAAATTTATCCAAACTCTGAAAGGCTGCATTACTCACATACCAAGTCTTAATGTGTCTTTAAATATAGCTTCTTTATAATGTGACATTTCAGTAATTTTAAATCTGGCACAGTAAGTCTTCTTTTATAATCACTGAGTTTGCGGTAAATAATACAGCATTTATAGAGCTAAATTAAGATGGCAGTATTCTACAGAAGAGGAAAAATAATACTTCTATTTTACCTTGTTGTTGACTAGAAAGATCTCTCCTTTGAAGGAAGCGTTAAGCTTACCTCAGTGTATGCGTATTTTTGTTCATTCTGACAATAAGATACCTTAAATTACATCTGTAGTTGGACAGTACTTGTGATGTGGTAATGTAAAGGTCATTTGGCTACAAAATGTGAGTGATATCTGCTAACAGTTCGAGACGGTGATCTTAAGGTTACCATCAGTCATTGTTGCTAAGATCACTGCAAATGGAAGAGAAGCTGCACAGATGATAACTATAAGATGTATTTCTTCGTGGGTGAGCTGCTTTCCATAAGAATTTGAAATTAAATGGCTCTTTTGTTTCTTTTCAATCCGAGGAAGTGGATTTTGCATTTAAATGTATTCTAAGAGGTAATCCATTTGAAGTATTCCCACAGATAGCCTTGCCTTTTCAGAGGCAGTGTACCAGTGATCATAGATGAACAATCCTCTTTGGTAGGACAGAAGGTGAGAGAGAAGAGTAATCCTGTTCTCTGAAGCTCCTCAGCTACTAGAGACAATATGTTCTTGATCACAAAGAATGTATATTCCCATGGCTTGATATTTGTTTGGTCTGGGGAGTTGTTCTCCAGAGACAGATCAGCTTGTGAGAGAGAAATCATCTGTGAATATGTGAGGACATACTGCCGTACTCTGAAGATGCCAGTTTTCATAAATGCAAATTTAAGGGGCTACAGGAAAGACCTTTAATGGTAACCAAAAAAAGCCTTCAATTCTGATATCCACTATTTGATTTGACCTCCAGAGTCTATCACAGAATCAAAGGGAGATTTTTCCAGTTTAAGTACTGTAATGCAGTCCTGAGAAGGGATTTGATAAAAAGCTTTGGCTATAATATAATCAGAGTTCAGCTTTGTGGATCATTTGGATCATTTACATAGGCTATTATATGCTTTTAATGTTATACTGTTCATTTAATTTGGCTGCTGCTGCTGCTTTATTATAGCCAAAGTTCTAGTTTAGGATAGATACCCTTTAAATATTTATTCTCAGCTTTAAGACACTCAGGTGTCTGTACTAAGCTACAGGGAGAATCTGTAGTTCAGCAGAAGTATCACAATTGTGTTGGTTAATTCTTGAACTTAGAGGTCAAACCAGTGAAATCTGTAAAAAAATTCTAATATTCTGACCCATCTTTTAGTACTGTATATATTTTTAAGGTCTTTAAGCTTTCATTTCTCTGTACTATATGTTTTGGATCTATACATATGTGAAAATCAAGGAGAGAAAGCACATCCCAAAGCTCAGAAAGTTCATGTAATGAACATCACACGGTGCTTACCTATGATTGCAAATTCATGTAACGTTAAGCATCTCACTACAAAATTTTGATCCTATAGGTGCATTTAATGTTTCTTTTATATGCTTCAAATATGTTTCTGTTTGAAAATCAAAGGCCTCTACCCAAATTAAAGGCTACATAGATTTCTAATCAAGTAAATATAAAACCACGTGCCATAAGGCATGACTAATGGTTCTCTCACAACCTTGAAGTTCTGAGGGGGAATATTAACTTATAATATTAGAGACTAAAATCCTGTCACCTGGACATCAATATGGGAGAAACCCAGCTGATGGAAAAAGCTACAGCTCTAACTCTGAATTTCCCTTCTCTTCCCTTCCCTGACAACCAGAAGAGCAACCTTGTTTGGGAGAAAGAGCTACATTTCCTTCATGTGTAGTATTGCGGGGATGATTTTTGAGTTCCCAGAGACTTTTCAAATGCATAATGCTTATGTGTGCTTCCAAACTTCCACTAGAAAGTATTCCTCCACTTCTTTGCTTCTCCTCAGACGTGGGACTCTGTCAATGCACATGCTCTATCCCTATGTGAATGTGCTCTGCATTGTTCATTCTTTCTGATTTTCATGAAATAGGGTAAATTATATTGCTCCAGTGGCAGAAATGAAGAGAACTTTAACTGGAAGCAGCTGTTCTGTCTGTGATCTGCTAATGAAAGAATATTGGAAGAGATGGAAAGAGGAGGTGATGCAAATATGTATGTTTGATGGAGGAAATGCTTTGAAGTCATGCAGCTGTCACAGTTCCTACTTTTTAGTCAACAGATGTGTCAGGATCATTATTCTTAACTAAACCTCAAACAGTGCTTCAAGTTGCCTGACATAAGACCAAGCAGCTCTATCCAGATTGTGTCCATAGTCTAAGCCTGAATTGACTGTTCTGTCCAAAAAAGGGTACATTTCACATAGCATAGCAGTTATCTTTTTCTTTAGAAGTCATTCAGACCAAATTTTGTCTGTATGACTTTGATTTCTCCAAACCTGATTCTGAGAAGGGAACCAACCGGGATTTGTAAATCTAGTGGATGAAACTTACAGCTGTAGATGTTGCCATGATAAGACATCTGTTAAGCAGATACTATAAAGGAACATGACCAGACAAAGCTTAATATTCCTCTTCTGCTGCGTAAGAGTTCTTCTTAATGGAAATGTAAATAGCAGATGGGCAGCCAGGGTGCTAAAACCCTGCTCTTTGGCTAGCCAGTGGTGGCCACCTTGGGAAGAGAGCTGCTTCTAGGTAATTTCAAGTGCTAGTGCTGCTTGTTCGAAAGGAAACCCTTTTACAAAAGAGCAGGAAGCTTCTTTCTCATGTTATTCCACCCTACTCAGCACCATATGTTAGAAAGAAGTATTTGATTTCAAGTGTATAGATCTGAAGGGAGAACACTTCTGCTCTGTTGTGCTTTGGATCACGTATCTTCTCTCCCAGGCATTAAAAAAAAAATTATCTCAGTGCTAAAACCTGAAACGAGATACTTTAACTCCAATTCAGTTTGCCTTGTAAAGTCTGAAAGATGGAAATACTTCACTGGTAAGATGTAAACAATTATAGATAACTTTAAAAATACTTTCTCATGTTACTAATAGCTAAGTACAATTATTTTCTTAGTCATGATCTCCTCTCCTCTTTGGATAGCAAAACTGCATTATAAGTGAAAGATAAAAAGATAAACATCAGCATTTTTTAATTGACTTAGTTATTGAGTAATTCAATCATGATCTATAAAAAACTCTTGCCACTTCGCAAGAAAGGGCAAAAATTATGCTGAGTCTGAAATAGTTGATAATGACAAGACATCTGAAATGAAGACAGTATTCAAACAATTACCAGTATAAGCTTCATTGTCCAAGCTATTATACGTCAGCTGGTCACTTATAGCACAATATAAGGTGTTTGTTTCAGTAAAATTATAACAATGGATGTGATCAGAATCAAAAGGCTCAAGTGGACATTTGTAGGATGCAAGATGTTTTTGAGTTGCATGATAAAACCATCTTGTGTTTTCCTAAACCAGATACTATAGCTGAGTGATAAGTCCTTGTGATGTTCGTGAATATAAACATTAAATAACAACTACAGACACTAATATCATATCTTAATTTTTCATGATGATTGTCCATCAAATGCTACTTTTAAATGAGAAGTATGCAGAATAAGCATCTAATACAGGATTCTGTTACTGTGTGTGTAGCCATAAGAATTAGTTATCTTGTGTTGACGATGGTGCATCAATTTGGGATTGAATGCACAAGAGTTACAGTGATGCAAAGTTCAAGACTCATGAAGATGCTTTGTAATTACTTTTGAGGTGAAATTTACTGTAGAAGTTGGTGTTGTAGTAGAGTTACAGTGCCATAATGCTTATAGGATAGATTTAATAAAAAGCACATCTTGAAAATAGTATTGCAACAAGATGAAGTTTTTCCAGTATTTTTTCATTTTTAAAGACTCTCACCCTATTGTAAAATGAAGCACATTCCTCTTCACTTCAGCAGCAGCAGAATGAAGACCTACCTTCCTTTGTATCTCAGAGGCTGCTGGGGATCATTTATGTCAATTGAAAGAGAAGTTGTTGTTTGCTCATGGTATTTATCTCTACTCTAATGCTGGTAAAAACGTGGGAAAAAAGATGAGACAACCCATAAAAATAGTACAAATACGTAGGTAATACAGACTCAGACTTGAACACATAACAAAACAAACTGTGGTAGCATGCTGAGTTATCAGGCTATGAAGAAGAAAGATTAGCTCTGTGGAATTGTTTAGCAGTGCTGGCATGAGTCAGACCAAATTGTGTTTGCCTTCTGGAAGGCAAGTCTTTGTTATGCGGAAGAATTGAAATAGCTCTGTCTAAAAATAGTAGACAAGCAAGTGGCCATGCAGAATGCAAAGTTCATGTTTCTTTACATTTTATTTCTTTTCCCTGGATTCCAACCCTACTATGATTGATTTTTTTTCCTAATATATGAACAAATCTGTTTATTAGCTAAAATTGGCATATTCAAAATACAGAGGTTATAAAAGTGATATGCATTGGCACTTGCAAGTGATTGACAACATGCTGCGTTCTTTTTATTTAGAAAAAGCAATGCAACAGTCTCTCAGAAGTATATTTGTCTGGGTCTTTTCTATTTGAGGCTATTCACAACTTTAACTTAGTATAAAACTAGATGTCAGTGGAGAACCTACAACCTAATTGTATCATTTTTTTAGCCTGCTACTTACATGATTGCAGATATACAGACCCTGTTTTAATCAGTGGAAACTTTATTTATTAGAATCATGCTGTACATTATAGTTGTATATATTCATTTTGTGCATTAACTTTAACACCTGTTCAGATGTTGGGGAAGAAGAAATCAAATGGTACCCTTTCCTCTACCCCTTGCTTTTCTGCCCTTCAACACTAGAGGTACATGGTTAAACCTTTCAACTTATTTTTCACAGAAAATCATTCTGCCCCTCCAGATGTTACCACTTACACCTCAGAACACTCAATACAAGTAGAAAGACCACAAGGATCAACAGCACGGGTGGCACCAAAGTATGGAAACGCTGAACTTATGGAGACTGGTGATGGTATGTCACAAAGCAAAACTGAGGTTTTTTGAGTATCATAACCTTTTTAGTGGCTACTGTATGCATCTGCTCTTTGTTTCTTCCGGGCACTTTTCACTTATAAACATGTACAAAGTTGTAGCATCTTTACCATCCTAAAATAAACTGGTATAAATGAAGCCGACATAGAGAAATATTTCTTAATCAGCAGAGCTGACTCCCTGTAGAAATTGTTTGGCAAAAGAAAGCAGTGAATCTCTTTATATCTGCTTTTATCATTCTGCCTGGTTACAGCTAGTCTGGTTTTTAAGTGGCAAAGAACTTGACATGCTAGGATGGCTACCTCTGGAAATGTGTTTGAAGTTTTATTTTCTGAGTTTTGGTTTGGTTTTTTTTTTTTGAAAAACAGTTATTTGTAAACCCTTTCTTATTTACTGCTCTTTCCTAAAACTTATTAAACAATATCTCAGCAGGGTGTGGAATTGTCGACCAAGTGTATTGCATCTAAACTTAGTAGCTTCAGCTCTAAGAACCACTTGGTAAAAGTTTTGGAGCCAACCTTATAGAAGGGTAGGAAGTTGAAATTCCTGCAATGCAGTGACAGAAAGCTCTTACTTCAGGAACAGGTGACATGAACGTTGCAGAGGCTTTGCACTTGACTAGAAGGGGGAGGTAATTGATGGAATTATATTATAAAAGTGCCCCTTGCCCCATGCTTCTGTTCAGAATTGTGTTTTTCAAAGTGCTGTATGGGCAAGCACGCTCCCTTTGGAGATTGCTGGCTGGTGGGATTGGCTATAGGGATGTTCAGAGAATACAGGGTCATGCTGAAGTAATACAAAGATGTGAACCATGTTTAAGATGGATACTGGACAGATGTCCACTACAGTGTAAAGAACAAGTCAGAATAAATGATAGGACAGAGCCTATGACCCACACTCCTTGCTGAGCTGCAGTCTAGTCAGACAATGTTGGCATGACCAGTGATTATGGGGAGAGCAAATGCCTGTCTTCTCACTGACCATTGCCAATGCCACCTAGAAGAGTTCTCTAAGGTTATTGACATTTGCTCTAGGGAGGGTTTTTTCACTGTGCTTCTCTCCCTCAGTCTATGTGCTGTTTCCCCTCTAATTTTGCAAGCTCACTCTGACATTGTTGTATCGTTTTTCTTTAAACTAGACGTCATTGTTTCTTTTTGCTGAAATGATCTTAATGTCTTAATGTTGAATACTTGAGTCACGATATGGCATGAAACTGTAGTTGTGGTGGCCTTGCAGTCCTAGACTTTTTCTTACCCCACTTAACATCTGGTGGCGTTCAGCATAGCAGTCGACTGATGTCTCCATTGATCCCTGTCCTGCAGGAGTACCAGTGAGCAGCAGAGTGTCAGCAAAGATTCAGCAGCTGGTCAATACACTAAAACGACCCAAACGACCACCATTACGAGAGTTCTTTGTAGATGACTTTGAGGAATTGTTAGAAGGTAAAATGACTGTTTTTCAAAAGGTTTGGGGATCTCTTATTAAAACTCTGTAAAATGTTTGTCTCGCACATTGACTTTCTAGAAAGCTAAGTAAGCCCTCCCTGTACTGGCAAGTACCAAAAAGCATCGTGTTCAGTGGAATCTGCTTGTAGTGAGCTTGGACATAGTGCTGTAGAGTCAAAAGGTTCTTTTGTTTGCTCAGCTCCTGGTTCTGCTTGCAAAGAAACGAGACAAGAGTGTGGAGGGAAGCTTTGCTTTGAGAACATTCAGCTGTGGGTTACAGCCATTGCTTTTGAACACCAATATGAGAAAAACTGCCAGTGAGGGAGCATGTTAAATGTTTTACACATCCTTTGTGTAACAGAGAAGCATTGAAAAAATGAGCTAAATGTAAGATAGAAACAAGGATAAAGTCAATAAATGGATTTTTTTTTTTTAAAGAAGCCAGTGCTTTGAGAATTAAGATTTACCAGGATGTGGAGGTTTAAATAGTCTTCATAGTAATTTATAAGAAAGCACTGTAACAGAACATAACTTAAATCAATCTGTTACTGATGACTTGTTAAAGTACCTTTTTTCAGTAGTTCTGCAGTTCCTCTCATTACTGCATTTTTGCCAGGAAAAAGTATTCTCCATCTCTCTTTAGGAATAAATATATGCATGCTGCCTCAGCAGTTTCTTTTCCTGCTTGTAGAGTTAGTGTACGGATAAGCACGTGCATTCCTGAGATGTTTCAGTTGCTTCATCTCTGTTAAAGTTAAAAGTTAATTATAGTGTTATATGCTTCTCAATACCTTCTAACATGTTATTATTTTCAGGATATTTTGCAAAGGTAACTTATTCTCTTGGTTACACAGGTATACACAAGGTATAGAATTTACATGGTAACTGTGTATCTTTTCATAATCATAAGTTCAACAGCCAGATCCAAACCAGCCAAAGCCAGAAGGAGCTCAGATGTTGGCTATGCGTGGGGAACAATTAGGTGTGGTTACAAATTGGCCGCCTTCTCTGGAAGCAGCTTTGCAGCGATGGGGGACCATCTCACCGAAAGCTCCTTGCCTAACCACTATGGATACTAACGGAAAACCACTGTATATTCTCACTTACGGTGAGCACTCTTCAAGCTCCTTGTGATTTTATATATTGTATAGAGTGTCTGTATGTATAGTAAATGCATAAATATACAGTGAAAAAAGCCCTCTAATGATGCATCTGTTCCATTTCTGAGTCGGGTAAGACAGTTCTGAAGCTATTGGTGTCTGAGTGTGGATTGCTGAGATGTTATAGTATGATTTGTTTCACAAAGAGCAAAAGAGCTGAAGAGATACACCCATGGAATCACAGATCATAAATTAAAACCACCTTTTAAATAGAAATACATCCTGGGGCAAATCTTCCTGAAGATTAATGTCTAAATCCATTGCTCTTGGATATTGCCCAGGCTTTGTTCTGCAAAAGCAGAACCTGGCATACAAAATTCACCAGCTTCCTGAAGAAGTTAAAATAGGATTTTTTCCTGTGTTCTACTGACATTGTAGTAAGTGTGATTTGAATTATTCCTCCTGATATGTAGTTGTACAGCTAGCAAATGTACCCCCTTGAAATAGATTTGCCAGGATATATTTTGGTGTGATCTTTGGTACGTTGATATAGTTCGATGTGTACTGCCTGACAATCTATTGCAACCAAGGAAGGCCAAATAAAAATAAACATAAGGATATTTCTGACAAGTAACTCCCATATAGCTTCTAATCTTGAGATGTTCAGGGTACATTTGGGAGATGTTCAAAGGAATTACTACGAATAACTGTCAAACTTTGAAAGCAAGTTGGAACATTTCTGTATGCTATTGATATGGGTATAAAAAATGATTTTGCTTTTTTTATTTCTACCTTCTCAGGGACCTAGGGTTCTGTGCAGAGAATGTTTATACATGCTGTGATATAGATGCCTGTCTGTTGTGTTCAGTGCTGAATGCTCCTTTCCATTCAGGAGTCAGGCTGAGTGATGGTCCCTGCCTGAAAAGATGTCTGCTGCAAGTTTGGCATTGCAAATATAGTTAAAGACTTTTAAAGTGTAACAGAACCTTTGCAACTGAAGGTCATGCATGAAACATTTTCCCTTCAGGTACCTTAGAGTTAAGAAGTTATTTAAATTAGGGGGCAAACATATGATTCACCATTGATCAATGTTTTTCTTCCTTAAGGACATTTACTTGGAACTAGAGAAGAATTTTAAAGTTTGCAATTACATGTTTGCAGAAGGGCAATTCATATCATCTACTGAATGTCCTAAATAAATTGAACAGGAAAGGAAATTAAGACGTTAGTGAGAATCAGACCATGGGATTTTGTCCAGAGAGTCTGAGCATATGTGCTGCTTTGCCTGAAGGGCTGTAGGCTGAGCAAATCAACCTGAGGAACTCATCCATGTGGCTCACGGAGCCGCCTAGCCTGCTTCTCTGTCCTAAGCTAACTCTTTCCAAACCCCTCTTCTGAATTGTTCAAATCCTGAGAAATGGGAGACTAAAATTCTTATTTTCATTACTTTCATTTGGCAGCACTCTAGGATATGGTTTTTGCTGTTGCCTTTCAGTAGCTTCCTGACATCAGAAAAAAATCAGTTCTTTTTTTTTTTTCCTTTTTTTATAGATAAAAGAAATTACAAACCAAGACATTTCATAAGAGATTTAGTGAATTCTTCTCTGCTAGCTATATTTCAAGCTGACGTTCTTCTTCATCGGAAATGTCCATTTACTGTGCCATAGCAGTTTTCATTTGAATAACTGCTTTTGAAATATCATTAACATTACAGCCACCTGCCATTTTATTGGTGACTTTATGAATGATTTTGCTGTAGCTATTCCATCTTTCATGTCTGTAATATTTTCTAGCAATTTTGGGCATGGCATTTTTTGAAGTTGAACGTTAATAGACATTAAGCCTTGAGCCCAGCAAAGACACTCTTATTCGTGAATTTTTATCCCTGTGTGTAATAAACTTCTGAAAGATGAACTTAACCCACAATCCTGCCACGTGGTATTAATGCGACATTTCATTTCCTTGTGTGCATGCTATGATCAGATAACTAAAACTTTAAAATATCAACATTGAGGACTTTCAGTAGCTTCCAAGTTTGTACCTCACAGTTACTTTCAGGTTCTTTGCCAATTTAAGGAAATACCGTTGGCAGGATTTTTCATATCTTCAGTGTTTTGAGAAATATTCAAGAGTTTTAAGAATAATTGTAAGTTTCTAGAGGTTCTTCGACACATTACCAACATGATCACTGTGCATCTCGTCTTGAATATTTTACCTCTGTTTACTGTTTCTGCTTCAGTCTCTTCTCACATCCTCTTGTATCTTCCTGGAAATGCTCTTTATTCATCCTCCAACTTTCTGGTTAAGAGGAGGCTTCTACATAATGTCTTTTGATCCCTACTTTTTTCATACACAGCATCTTCTGCAGTTTCTCATCTCTGAATGGATGAATTGCAGGTTTGCTTGCATATTCCAGACTTTTTTCCATCTTTCCAAACTGTGTTCCAGGAGCGTGTCTGTAGCTGTCAGCTAAGTCATAGCCCCTCTGAGTAGTCATTCTTACTCCCTTCACAGCAAGCATATTTATCCCCTCCTTTGTGGATCATTGTAGACAATATTGCCTTCCTGCTTGTCACTTGGACTGTAACTTGAGTATCATACATGACTCGGCTATTTCTTCAGTTTTGTACAGCCGTTCTCTGTCCAAACCTCGCAGATTATTTTGGGAGCAAATCTTTTCAAATGCAGACCTTTTGCTGCATCTACATGGTGAAATCTCATCCCATCTGTCACCTTAGTCTTGATTCTTACAGCAGGCCCCCTCTCTGACCCTGAAAAATGCTGTGTTGGCCTGTTGCATCTATCCAGGATGCTTTCATACTTCCCCTTGGTGGCTTTGTATGCATGGACTCTCTGAGAGTCCACAAAATTCTCCGTCTCCAAAGCCTTCCTCACAACTCATTTGCTGTCCTGTCCAGAGACATCTGAGAATGGTCAGACCGATGATCAAGCTATGATAGGCCGTGGCAGACAGTGGTAGATTGGTGTGATAAGACCACCTTGTGTGGTTTCCTGGAATTAATTTCACTGCCTAACTGACTGATGTGGATATGATACAGTTAGTGTGGATTTAGGTGGTGGGTTCTCTAGATGATGACACGCTGTTGTACCGTAAGGGGAACTAGCTTAAAGAAGTTGTTCTTTCAACTGTTGCTTAAAATCGTCTCTGCCTTCCCATTCCTCTGCAGGAATTCATCTAATTTGTAATGTCTTATATCTCCTGTGTCTTTTTTTTGGCATGATTTTTGAGTTTTTTGTCTTCATAGCAAGTCAGGACTGTTTTCCTCCTGTGTCTCAGATTTCCGTAGACAGAAGAAATGAATAACTGCACTTGTACACTTGATCTTTTTTTCAAGCAAGTTTTTGATGCCTCAGTTCTTGAAGTTCTTTTCAGTGCCCCAGTTGTAATCTTTATTTAATGTACTCAAAACTCTTCAACTCTTTCTAGTGAATGAAACACTATGAATATTACTTATTTCTCAAATATTTTGTTCCTCTGGGAGCTTGGTTAAGTGGAGAACATCTTAGTTTTCACAATCCCTTTATAAATCAAATCACTGAATATGCATAAATTGAAATGTCTGAGATATGGGAAGGAAAGATGTCTTTATCGGGTTTTATGTAAGTCTGAACTCTGACTAGAAACCTAATACGTGCTTTGAGGAAAAGGAAGGCAATTTCTGGCTCAGACGAAGTTAATCAGAATAGTCAGGCATCTGGTTTTGGTATTGTTGGTATTAATAATGAAGTGCTTAGTGATTTCTTAGAGGAGAAACGCGAATAAAGGACAATTAAATCCTATATAGTACTTATGCTATCACAGTTACTTTTCTTACTTAAAATGATTATTTTAAGAAAAATCAGAAAGGCTGGGGAAAAAGTAAAAAGCTGGAATTAATTTGGGAATGAGCAAGTTTTGTGAACATTATTAAAAACAACAAAGCGAGTACCGGTTAACTACATCTGATTCAAAGAATCCCATTTCCTTTATCTAACATTTTCAGTAATCAGATTTTTTCAAAGCCATTTTCAATAGCTGTGATGTATTGTTTCCCACGTCAGAGGCCCATTGGAGACAGCAAGGCTAGCAAAAAAGAGCAGAGAAGACTCTGGATAGAGAATTATTTTTTCTTTACCCATTTGGATTCTGTGGAGAAAGAAATGCCTGAAAAATGGCATGTTTTTCAAATGCATTGCCCATAAAAGAAAAAACCTCAATGCAACTGTAAACCTTTTGAGGCCAAAGTCATGCTGCCTTAGCAGAGGTGATGTAGCTTATATTGGGGATGATCTGAGCTGGCTGAAACTTAACAACAGACCAAAGATCGCCAACCCCAACCATGGTGTATCTGGTGCGCGACCTGGCCCCCCACGTCCTCTGGCTGCGACAATGTCCTAGGCCAGGAATCTCACAATTATCAGGAGGAAAGAGAGGGAACTGAGACTCTTTAACCAAGTAGCTAGATAACCAGGCTGTCATCTCTGAAATAACTCAGTGCTTGCAGAGGTGTGGATAGTCATGGTTCACGTCCCTAGGTAGATATCAATCTTGTGATTGTTTAATACTTTAAACCTTTATTTATTTAATAAAAAGACAGAAAATTACTTTAAAAAATCTATATTACGAACTATGATTAAGACTGGAGTATCAAGCATGGTAATAGTAACATTACCTGTATTCTGAGTATGTCTGGAGTCTTTTATTCTCTGCAACAGAACATTTTTGTTCTTTTTCCTTTGGATTTTTTTCTCCCAAAAGACAACAACTTCATTTGCTGCTCAGGATAGATCTAAAGAGTTTATGAAGAAAGGGTTAACAGAGCAGCAGAACTGTGACTATTAGTTTGCAAAGCAGAAAAAGTGCCTCTTTACCTGCATAGCATTAGAAAGTTTGCCATTTACACCAGATTTAACAAATACTTTTGTTTCTATTTAATATAAGAAATGTCATACTATGATATTGAGAAAATGAATGTTTGACAAAATTATTTGCAGTTAAACTTTGGCA